AATGATGACCATGAATCCATGTCGACTGTCGGAAAAACCCATCTGGTTCACTAACGTCCTTAGGGAGGGAAACTGCCATCCTTACTTGGTCTGGCCTACATGTGACTCCAGACCCACAGCAATGTGCTTGACTCTTAACTGCCCTCCGGGCAATTAGGGATGGGCAATAAATGCTGCCTAGCCAGCGACGTCCTCATCCCGTGAATGAATAAAGAAAGAAGGTGCTGTTTAACAAGCTTCAGCAAATTTCTGCAGTGCACCTTAAAGGTGGCACACAACTGCTGCTACTTTGTCAGTGGTGAGGGAGTGAATGTTTGTGAACATGGTGATGTGAGCAGCACAAGAGTGTAAATTTATTCCTACACAGTACACATATGACAGAGCTCAACATCAGTTTTTGAAAATGCTCCATTGGTAAGCTTGTGATGCAGATCTGAACTGATTCCTGGTCAGTCCTGGTAAACTGTACTATGTTGCAGTAACAGTGCAGGCTATTACAAATGCAAGTTCTGCTTACTGCTTACCATTCAGAGACCACTGCTAGGAGAAAGAGCTACACTGTAGCGTCATGTGAGTAGATGATTAAACTGTGACATCTGCCCTTCCCCATTCCTTTGAGCCTTCCACCAACATGGTACAGGAGTTGAAGATTACATGAGAGGTGGGGGAAGGGAACAGGAGGTGCAAAGGAAGCTTGCCATCATGACTGTTGCACAAACAGGAGTAGTCAATTAAGCCTCTTGGGCCTGCAGTACCATTGTATTAAAGCATAGTGATCAGTATTTCAATATATCTGGAGCAAAGTGAGAAAGCATGCATTCAGAAACACACTAACCGAAACAATAGATATGTTAAAAGTAGAACTGATCTACTCAGATGACTATATATAACTGTTATGTTTGGAAAGGGTGTTAGGAAAATAAATCACCTCCTGTGGAACAACTCAGATGAGTTTGAAGGTAGCAGCAGAATAGTTTCAGCATTTCTTCATTCACGTAAAAGCTGTGTGCTACAGGATCTGCAAAGTGACTTGATCACACTTTTTCTGCATAATTCAATGAGTCTCATTGAAAAATATCTTTGATGCAACTACAGAATTGAGACTACAATAAAGGTTTTAGAATTTAAGAAACAATGGGGCAGGGATGACGGTTGACAGATAAACAGTTCTATAATAAGCAGACTGCACAAACACATGAGAAAAATGCTATGATTCTATGCATCAAACTTTTCTTCCTGCCTTGTTAAAGGTCCTGGGGATGTTTCATTATGTTGTTGTGTATTTCTGGCATTTTGATAATGATAGAGACTCTTGTTTTTAATTCCTTTCCACTATCATGTCATTACATCCCTCATTACTCAGCTTCCCAAGTCGGTATCTATATCCTGCTTCAAACTCATCTAAATTTTGAATCTACGCCTGGAATCAATTCATTTTATTTTAATACAAGACCAGAAGAAACAGGAACAGGAGTAAACCATTTGGCCCCTCGACCCTGCTCCACCACTCAACAGGATTGCAGTCAATCCAACATTCCTTACTTCCATTTTCCCTACAACCCTACATACTACCCATCTCAGCCTTAAACATACACAAGGACTGATCCACATCTCTCAGTCACAAGGCTCTAAAGACAACTCTCAGAGAGAAGAAATTCTTCCTCATCTCAGTCTTTCATTTTTCCCTTAATTCTGAGACTGCACTTTCTACTCCTTCAGCACAATATCCTCTCAGTATTCACCCTATCAAGACCCAAAAGAATGCTACATGTTTCAACGATGTGGAGGACTGTAACCTGGTGTTGTGTGATTTCTGAACACATTTCAATGACATCAGCTCTCATTCTTCCAAATTCGAACAAGCAGAGTCCCAACTCGTGTAATCTTTGCTCATAAGACAAGCCCTCCATGCTAGGGATCATCCTAATGAATGTTCTCTGAACTGGATATAGTCCTGGAAGTAGAGGAAATTTTCCTGCAATTGTGTTTTTTTTTTAAATAAAGGCAGGTTTGCATAATATGTAGCACTTTTACAACCACAGGACCTTTTAAAGTGTGTTGCAATCAATGAAGTACTTTTGTAACATATTCATTGTTGTAATGCATGAAACTGATTTAACCTGTATTCCACAATTACATATTTTGCTAGAGGAACATTGCACCGTTATTTATCCTATCAACTCCCTTCATTAATTAAAATACCTCAAATTAAACCAACACTCAAGTTCCTCTCAAATCATAACCACACAGGATGAGGCCATTCAGCCCATGCCAATCTTCAGTTCAGCAATCCAGGCAGCCCTGTACTCCCACTCTACCCACTAACCCTGCAAACCTCAGTTGACACTTTCAAAAGGAAATTGGATTATTATTTGGCAAAGGAAAATGTGCACGGCAAAAAGGGAGGAGAGTGGTTCTAGATGAACTGTTCTTTTCGAGAACTAATGCAGAAATGACAATAGGGAGTGACAACCAAATTTTCCCAGGCTTTCCTCAGTTTGTTTCTTCAGGCCTAGAATGAGCATGAATAAGTTGTCACTTGACTTTCTTTGTGCACAACATGCATTTCTTGCAGTATTCCAAGTGAAAAAGGTCAAGAAACATTGATGGTCTGAAATAAAAACTGAAAATGCTGGAAATATACATCAAATTAGTTTGTATCTTAAAAAAGCACCAGAAAGGAAAGGTTATGGATGCTAACTTGTTAACTATTTCCTGTGTTTTCTGTTTTTATTGTTAAGTGAGGGTTGACCATTGGTTTAGACAATTGCAATGGCATTCCCCTACTTCCATATTCTAAACCTCTTTGATGAGCTCCTTTGGCCCATCATATTTTGGATTGTTTTGTTTGGATTTGTAAGATGGCTTTTGATAACATGAAACTAGATGCCTAAACCTCCCTGTTCAGCTGCGTCTTGTACCATAATGTTTTCCAACTTGCAATATATTTCATTCTACTAGTCTCATATCTGGTATGTGTTTTGTGAAATAAAGTGCCACATAAAAGTTTCTGGAACATCATCGTCAATCAGGGATTTAGCTCACATTGGAAAATCTATTCATCGGGGTACGGCCTCATTGCAAAGCCCAGTCCTGTCCCCATGCATACTTTCCAGAAAACAGGTACTGGACTTCAAACAAGAATAAGAACACTGCCAGTTTTCTTCCCCTTCCTAGACTCATGCAGCAGCCAAGATCATGCCAAATCATTACAGGCCAGGTGAATTTGGGACCTAGATCCACCAACGTGACTCACAAAGAGCCAGAACATACAGCTCAACAAGAAATATTCACTGAGCAATCATCATTATCAGCACAAGCATCTGCCACTCCAAGCACATGGTCCAATATACTCAGCTAAAGATTCATGTGAAACTGCCAGCATAAACCACAGCACACTCATTGTCATTCCCAAAAATCAGATAAAATGGCACAAACAGATTGCAACTATCACAAAGAACAAAACTCTGTAGATGCCAGAAATCTGAAACAACTGAAAATGGCAGCATCAACAGGGAAGGGAAGAAAGTTAACTATTCAATTTGATAATCATTCATCAGTGTAGCATTTTTAAATGGACTGAAAATTAGTCAATCACTAAATTTCAAGTGTCTTTTAATACTTTGAATCCTGTTTATAAGGGAAAATTCTACAAGTACCCAGCAAATCAGTCAGCATCTGTACTCAGATAACCTAAGTTATGTTTCTAGTAAAGTCCTCATCACAATAAATTTATTTTCTTTACAAGTATTAGTTGCCTTGAATTGATGAAAGGTGTCCAACCAGAAACATTAACTCCATTTCTTTCTCCAAACATGTTGCCTGACCTGCGGAGCACATCTAAAAACAAAAACAGAAATTGCTGGAAAACTCAGCAAGTCTGGCAGCAACTATGGAGAGAAATCAGAGTTAACATTTCAGGTCAAGTTACCCTTCCTCAGTACATCTTGTATGTTTTGTTTTTGTTAATTGAGCAAAACTCTGGATATTTCAAAGCTTAAACCACAGCATCTATTTTATTATAAGAAACAATTATTTAAACGCATAGTAGAATTAAGTCATTTACCTTCAATACTACACATATTTCATGCCACCTTTGACACCAACCTCAAACTCTCATTTGATTTAGCTGAGTTTCGATGAGAGAAAGAGGGAAAGATGAAAAAGTTAGACAAACAAAACCTCGTCAAAATTCCAAATGGGATGTTCGTGTTTCATATTTGAAACAAAATTGTTATAATTTATACAGAAGCAACAAAAATACCAATGGGGAGCCCTTTTCCTTAATAAACGAGAAAACGACAAAAGAAACAAGGATTAGTAGAACAGAATAATTTAGAAAACAGAAATGGATAGGGAAAACGGATTAGAAAGGGAAAAGGGATTAAAAACGAAAAGACGACTGAGAAAAAAAAAGAAAGGCTTCAAAATAGGAAGCGGAAAAAGTAAAGGCGAGAAATATTTTAATTCTTTTCTTACTTTTAACAGGAAGTCTCAAGTGATACAGGCGCATGCGTGATATTAAAAGGCGCTTGATATTTTGGCACTTGATTGTTGATTTTTGTGTCATTTGAAAAATCGTTCGAGATTATTTGATTTGTTGGCTATGTACTCGTCAAAAGAGGACGGAGGATTGGGCTAGTTTTGATTCTAAACCCATGCGTGTTACCACACATAATAGACATGGGGGATGCTAAAGGATCTCGTCTCAGCTTTATTAACAGCATTTCATCTCAACCATCAGCTTATTCGGTATTCTCCCATGTAATTTATTTCGGCCTTACCGGATTTCTTGTTTTCCAGCGCTTCTTCCAGCTCGGGGAAGGTGAATTCGGGCAGTTCCAGCGAGGCGCCATAGCGCTCTAGGAAAGAACAGACAACGGCGAAATTGGGTTTAGAGGCGACCGCCGCCATCTTAGTGTCGGAGGACTTAGTGCGGTCCTCCGCTATCCCGACGAGCAACGCTACCTTCCTCTCCGCACCCCTCATTCCCACACGCCCGACCTGGCGAGAAGTAAACACAGATTGGGGGCGTTTGGAGGAACAAGCTGGTCAGGAAGAGTCTTCCAGTATCCCATCCTGCACCACGCCGAAAGGCAGGCGCGAGCAAAAGATTCGACGGGAGGGAGCAAGAGCGGCCGTTGCCTCAGCAACCGTTGGTTAGCAACTGGCCCAGGGAACTGAGGTAATGCTGAAAGTTAGTCGAGAAGAAAAAGTTCATTAAATGCTTATTCTCTTTGTTTCTTGGAGTGGGGGGAACGAAACCTAAAAAAGAAATCTTGAGCTGCATTAAGATAAATAGTAGGAAAAGAGGATTGTAGTTGATAAATTTGTTTGAGTTGTAGGCCAAAGGTTGAATTTTTGCTTTATTTTTCATTTATGGGATGTGGGAGTCACTGGATAGGTATCAGTTGCCCATCCCTAATTGCCCCGAGAGTAGTTAAGAGTCAACCACATTGCTAAGGCTCTGGAGTCACATGTAGGCCAGACCAGATAAGGATGGCAAATTTCCTTCTTAAAGGACATTAATGAATCAGATGGATTTTTCTCTGCAATGGTTTCATGATCATGATTAGACTCTTAATTTTTTAAAGGTATGCAGAACACCACATAAACAGACTCTTTGGTCCAACTCGTCTATGCCAACCAGGTATCCCAAACTTAACTATAAACTTGCCAACCATAACACTACAAACATTGGCAAGTTATGTTACAGCTGTACAAAACTTTAGTTGGGCCACGTTTGGAATATTGCATGCAATTCTGAAAGCCACACTACCAGAAGAACGTGGATGTTTTGTCGAGGGTGCAGAGAAGTTTTACCAAGATGTTGTCTGGTCTGGAGGGTTTTAGTTATGAGGAGAGGTTGAAGAAACTTGAATTGTTTTCAAGGGAAAGACAGAGGCTGAGGGGCAACCTGATAGAGGTCTGCAAAATTATGAGAGGAATAGATAGGGTGGATAGTCAGAGACAGTTTCCCAGGGTGGAAAGGTCGGCTACAAGAGGGCACAGGTTCAAGGTGAGAAGGGGAAAGTTTAGGGCAGAAATGTGGGGAAAAATTTTTCAGTGTGGTGGGTGCCTGAAACACACTGCCAATGGACATGGTGGAAGCAGGCACCTTAGCAGTGTTGAAGGCATATCTTGATAGGCACATGAATGGGAGGCAAACAGAGGGATAAAAAACCACATATGGCCAATAAGTAGTAAGTCTAACTAAGGCATAGGAATCAGCACAGGCTTGGTGGGTCAAAGGGCCTGTTCCTGTGCTGTATTGTATTGTATTGTATAACTGATCCTGTTTGACTGCATTTGGTCCATACCGCTATAAACCTTTGCTATTCATGTACTTGTCTAAATGTCTTTTAAATATTGTAATTGTACCCCACCTCTACCACTTCCTGTGGCAACTCAGTCCATACACAAACCACTCTCTGCGTGAAAACAGTTGACCCTCAGGTTGCTTTTAAGTCTTTCCCCTCTCATCTTAAGCCTATGTCCTCTAATTTTGGACTCCTCTGCCCAGGAAAAGACTTTGGCTATTGACATTGTCCATGACCTTCATGATTTTATAAACCTCTATTAGGTCACCCCTCTCAGCCTCCAATGATTAAATAGTCTAGCAATCATATGACTAGGCCATTACCTTCACAATTTAATTAAACCACTTGTGTTCTGAGGAAGGGTCACCGGCTCCGAAACATTAACTCTGTTTTCTCCTTCACAGATGCTGCCAGACTTGCTGAGCTTTTCCAGCAACTTTGTTTTTGTTCTCAATTAAAACACTGACTAGTTTGACTTACTCATGTGACAAAAGAGTTGTTTTAATTTTTTTTAATATACCTGGGCTACATCTATTTGAAAAAGAAAGGCTTGCATTATAGAATTGCCAAATTTTTATGGTGAAGAAGGAGGCTATTTGGCCCATTATGTCTGTACCAGTTCTGTTCCCTAGTGCCAGTCTCCTGCTTTTTCTGCATATCGTAGTGCACCATTTGTATCCAAATAATAATACAATGCCCTTTGAAACATGGAAACATAGAAAATAGGAACAGGAGTGTAATAAATCAAATAACTCTGGATGCTGGAGATCTGAAATGCCCAAAAACAGGAATTGCTGGAGAAGCCCAGCAGGCCTGGCAGCATTTATGGAGAGAAAACAGAGTTAACTTTTCAAGTTTCAGTGACTTCTTTAGAATGGTTCAGAACAGCTGCTTTTGTGATGAACTGGAGTAGGTCATTTGACCCTTCAAGTCCAATTTGCTATTCAGTGAGACCATGGTCAATCTGTGGCCCAACTCCATAAACCTGTCTTTAGCCCATATCCCCTCACACCTTTGTTTAACAAAAAAAACTCTCTCAGACTTATCTATATAGTACCTTTTCGTGACCCGAGGACGTATGTGCAAGAACTTTTAAAATGCACTCAATGTTGTAATGTAGGAAACGCAGCAGCCAATTTGTGCACAGCCAGCTGTCACAAATGAGATATAATGACCAGATTATCTATCACAGTAACGTTGGTTGAGGGATAAGTATTGACCAGACACCAATTTGACAGACTGCTGTGGATGCTTTAAAAATGCAACTGAGGCACAGTAAGTGGGTCCTTAGTTTAAGATGTCATCAAAAGGACAACATTTCTGACTGTCAGTCCCTCTGCACTCAGTTGAAATGCAGCCTTGAGTTCGTTTTGCGTTCTTCAGTCCTGGAGTCGGATATGATCTATCACCAAAGATGGGAGTGCTGGTTGATTTTGGAATATTATGAGGCTTTTTGACCCAAGAGCCAACGGTTGAACGTGTCCTACACCAGTCCTTTCTGTGTGTTATTTGTGGGTGAGAAGATGCTGCCACAATCATCTTTCCTTTGGCTGGATCTAAGGTCTAATGCATTTACAGTTGTTGAAGATCAATATGAAGTGTTAACAAGAAGATACTCTTGTCTTAACACGTTGTAGTATATTGCATGTTAGCAATTAGGTACAAGTTACATTAGTTTGGTAGACATTGTTACAAAGACTATAAGACATAGGAGAAGTAGGCCATTCAGTCAATTGAGTCTGTTCTGCCATTCAATTAGCTCATGACCAATCTGATAATCCTTAACTCCATTTTCTGGTCTTTCCCCCATGATACTTGATTCCCTTTCTGATTAAAGATCTGTCTATCTTGTCCTTGAGTACATTCAATCACCTGGCCTCAACAGCTCTCTGTGGTAAGGAATTCCACCAACTCTCAACTCTCTGAGAGAAGAAATTCCTCCTCATCTCAGTCTTAAGAGTGCAGCCCATTATTCTGAAATTATGCCCTTTGGTCCTAGACTCATCACAATAAGGTTTTCTGTCATTCTTCTATATTTCAACAAGTATAGGCCCAACCTACTCAACCTCTTCTCGTAAGAAGGACCCTCTATAGTTGATATGAGCGTATTGAACCCTCTCTAGACTGCCTCCAATACCATTATATCTTTGCTTAAATGCGGGGCCTAAAATCATTTACAGTATTTCAGCTGACTAGTGCCTTGTACAGTTTTAGCAAAACCTCCTTACTTTTATATTCCATTTCTTTTGAAATAAAGGCCAACATTCTAGTGGCCTTCCCTATTACCTGTTGAACTTGGATGCTAGCTTTTTGTGATTCATGGATGAGGTCTCCCAAATCCCTCTGCTCTGTTGCTTTCTGCTCTTTTTCTCCATTTAAATAATATTCTTCCAGCCAAAATGCATAACCATATAATGCATGACATTTTGTCCCAAGTGCCAGGTTTTTGCCCAGTCACTTAACCTGCCTATATTCCTCCGCAGACTCTCTATCATTCTCTCCACTTGCCTTTCTGCCTATTTTAGTGTCATCAGCACATTTGATTAACATTCATTCACTTCCCTCATCCAAGTCATTAATCTGAATTGTAAATAAGCGTTAAGAAGACTTAGGGCTCTTGTGGTTCAGTGGTGGTATTCCTATCTTCAAACCAGGAAGACTGGGTTTAAATCCTGATTATTCCAGAAATGTATTCTAGCATAACTGAACAGGTCGATTAAAAATGTCTAAGACAGCCGGTGGATATAGGTTTTGTAGTTTAATGGGATCCTAAGATATTCTGTTTATCCTAACCAAAGTCGGTAGAACAGAATTATGTGGCATGGAGACTTAATATAGTCACCAACATTAATCCTTTCAGAGCCATTTCATCATACAACACCCTGGCTAACCGAACTGTAATTACCACTTGAACAATATGTAGAGCTGCCATAGATCAGGTTCCAACTGTGTACATAATCAAATACGGTTTCTCATACAGAACCTGGTGTTAAGTTGACTCTTGGTGGTCCAATGCTGATTAACACTGTAACGTAACCTAAGGAATCTGTCGGTGCACTTGGGATATTATGCCTTCTGCCTTTTCATTTTATTCAAAGCTAGGCTGAGAAAACATCTGAGAGGAGATTGCATAGCTGTTAGCAAGTTATTAAGTTGCTTTATTTCATGGACGACCAGTAAACATCCAAAACAACTATCATGCTCACTTTTAGTCAAATCATTGTACTTATTACTTCCTGAGATGTAGGTATCACAAGCAGAATTAATGTTTCAGTTTGATTACTTTTTTTTTCAGAACTGGGTAAATGTTAGCAATGTAACAAGCTTAAGTACAGGGATAAAAAGAGGGAGGGTAAGCACAAGTAGATTTAATACAGGGTGACTATGAACAAAAGAAATAAAAGCAGGAGAAGATTATTTGGCCCCTCTGTTTTTCACCCATTCAATTAGATCATGTCTTATCTAGGTCCATCCTCTTGGAGTGCATTCCACAACCTTTCACTCCCTTGTAGATTGAGAAACATTTGTTTATCAATTATGAGAAGAGACTAACAGCTTCTTGTTACAACTGAGACCGGAGGAGTGCGGACTCGCTCGAGTCCCACTAATCCAAGAGTTGCAATGTAATATGAAGAGGTAAAATTAATAAACATACACAGTCAGTAATATAGAACTATACATGCTTACCCCTGTAAATATCCCCAAAAAGCAAACACAAACACATTCTTTGGGAAAAATGAAAAAAATTCTCTGCAGAGATTGGCTTTCCAAAAATAAATGCTTTGACTGATGGATTATTCTTGAAGTCAAAAGGATAAACTATAAGATATTTTGGAGTCTTTCTCTGTGTTCTGTGTAGCCAAGT